ATACCTTCCGGTGCAAACTTTTCTGGGAATTTTCTGTGAAAAGCAAGATGCTTTTCATGCCAATTTGATTGTTTCCAATGCTCTGGCGAGTTCTCTTTGACAAACTCTTGTACACGATTTCTAAATTCAGCCGCTTTCAATAGCAACAATTGTATGATAAAGAAGCATACTTGTGCTTCATTACCTTCTTGAGTTCTTAAAGCTAAACAGAGCACAAGTCTGTCAATGGTTACTATGTTATATTTCCAAATCATGTCGTTAATAGTGTCTACACATTTATTAACATGCTGGCCGCCCACGCTGTTAGCAAATTCGAATACAAGATAATCGCAGAATTTCCTGAGATGAGCCGATAGCGCTCTAGCGCCTATTCTCTCGAGAATTTTGTACGCAATAGGACTAATGCGATCAGTCTCGAGTATCATTTTCCATAGAAGGCACAGGAATAATGGTGGCGTACCAGGTACAGAGAAATGCGCGATGATGTCATTCTCATTGTTCATAGATGCCCAATTCCTGTATTCTTCCTCGACTGCCTTCTTTATCTGTTGTTTATTTTCTTTCGCCACACTGTTCTGCTGGAAGAACTCGCTCAATACCGGCGGAAAACACTGAAGGGTGTGATTAGCCCAAGAATGCGGAGTATTTTGCATGATGGTGTTCAACAATTCTTTACACCAAGTGCCGCTGAGACTGTCGGCGCCAGTGCCAGTTACATGCATAGATCGTGCCAGTGTCAATACTAACGCTCGGTTAAGTTCTTCTGATTCCGCAGACACGAGGGTTTTCGGCTCGGATAGGAACCTAGACAGCTGTGGCTGTACTTCTGCAGAACCCAATCCGGTAATGAGTCGTAAAGCTGTGCTTTCAACACACAAATGAAGCTGCGTTTGATTGGTCTGTGGTACCGCTGCGAGACTGTGGAGATGTGACAGCAGCTGTACCCTGTAATGTGGTTGAATATGGTGCATCCTGTAGCTGAACATTTCCAACAGCGTATATAAAGTTCCCCACGCATGTGATTTGAACACTGTCGGCAACAATTGGCTAATAAATCCTTTAATACCAAGACTCTCGATTTCTGTATATACCAGCAGTCTACTATAAGTTTCGACTAACGCTGGTGCCAATGCCATATTGCTTTTTGATTGTGCTAACTTGATGACATGCGTGACAATGCTGTGAATTAAGCTCATCTTGGAGTGCACAGTTAAAGAGTCCAAAATAGACATTGAAAGTGGCGTTGTTGGACCATTGGCTAATGCTGCATTATTTTGTAAATTCTGTAAAGGTTGCTGTTGCTGATTCTTTTGCGTACCCAGGATGGTATCCACCAGTGCAGCCATTGGCCTACTAAAATACTCCTGGTTCGTTGAGTATGCGTTGCACAAAAGTGCAATGCGATAATCCGAGCCCATACAGAGAGAAGCATTTGGCATGACTAAATGCTGCAGAAATTCGTGGTGGACTTTCAACGTGTGCGGTATGGGTCTGTGAATGTTAGTGCCGGGTTCGGTCTGAGCCTTTTTCAGTAAATGTATCCATATGCATGTTATCGCCATTTGATGAGTGCACAGAGCTTGGGTATAATCTGGAACAGGCAGAGGTTCTTTTTCCGGATAGAGGAGATCATACAGTTTTAGCACAGGTAGAAAATTTGACAAAGGATTTCGTTGAATGCTGCCAGAGATAAATTGTAGAAGGACCCACATCAAATGGTCTCTACCCTTCCTCAATTCTCTGCCGGCTAATTTATCATGTATCGCCATAACAATACTCGGAAAACAGGCAAATTGGAAGAGAATAAAATAAATGAGTTGTGAAGATAGGTGTAGCCACACCCAGTGATTGGCCACTGTTCCATCCATTCCTTCTGCTGGTAGAGTTTCGTTTTCAGATCGTTCCATCGCGAGTATGACGAGTTCAACAAGTTGTTCTTCCAAGACGACGCATCGTTGCTTGTGCTATTATATAAATAAAAATATAAAGAGTTAAATATCTTCTGATATATAGTTTTATAATTTCAGTAATACAAAACTAATAAAAAAAGTTAAAAAACAAGAAAAAAAAGGACTAGGAGCCAAAAAATTGTTTTATAAAATTAACATCGTTAATGTAGAAGTTAAAAACATATAATATAAAAATAAAAAAACAAAACATAATATAAATTTATACTTCGCTCTCTCTAAAAACGCTGGTAACATAAAAACGATTATCATCCTGTTCACAGTTATAATGTAGCTTGAAAAAAGTCACATGACAATATATAATTGCAGTCATACATTATATTATGTTTTGTTTTTACCGTTTATAATATATATTATATGTTTTTAACAGTGATAATGATCCAATTGCAATCAAAACGTTTGTTTATTGTTAGCACGTTATATTAAATCTAAACTAAAGGATATATTTGTTTCTTTGCTTATGTTCCAACTTCTACATTAACGATGTTAATTTTATAAAATAATTTTTTGGTTCGTAGCCCTTTTTCTTTCTTGTTTTTAAATTTTATGAAAAAAAGCTAACATAAATATTTATCTTATTACATATCCGGATTATTATTTCGTTTTTAACTTTATAACTCTCAATAATTTTTATATTCCATAATTAATTTTCATGTTTCACGTGCTTTAACTTTATCTTACCTGTTTCTGCAAACCAAGCATCGAACAGACCATGTCTCTGCTATACGGCTGTTCTAAAACATATCTAAGTAATTCTGTCTGAGGCTTAAGTAAATCTGGATCATAAGGTAAATTTCCTTTCAAAGAAAACTTTAATGTAGTAGGATCCAACAACCAGGGATTAATCAAATAATCTGCATATCCTGTGTGTTCAACCACTGGCAACATCTTTGAGTGACCGACTATAGATACCATTTGCGCGGTGTGTCGAAAACTTTCGACAAAATCAGAGAGTAGTTTTGCTAGTTTCTAAAAAACAAAAATGCATAACGTTGAAAAAAAACACAGAATTAGACAGCAAAGGAGACACTTTTTTCACAAAACTGTTAAATGTAACATTACACACAATATACAAAAGCACACATATACACACACACACACACACACACACACACACACACACACACACAATTTAATTTTTTCTTTTCAACACTCTAATGTACTTTAATGTTACTTACCCAATGAGGCCAATTTTTACCGTCGGGATAAGCTTTCTGTATTTCATTAACAATAAAATACCCTGGTAATAAGCATGCATTTCTATCGAAAATAAATTCAATAACATTTTCTAAAGCCTTAAGTTGCGGTTGTACTGATGCATCTAATCGAGCTGGTATGGTTTGGGCTTTTTCTTTGCATCCCTAAGCATAAAACAGAAAAATACATATGCTTTTAAATTTAAATATATAT